ACGCCTGGATTTTTTATTTCTGTGGTAATTATTTGCTGAAAGTGAACAATGTCAGGGCCATTCAGTCTTATCTAATATTCAGTATACTGAGCACCAACAATATCACAAATGTAATGATGACAGCCCAGAATTGGGATACTTCAAAACTAAAAATACTGATCTCTTCAGAACTTTATGGGCCTTAATATATGTCACATGATGGGCTTACTTTAAAAATGTAAGTTAAATTTTTAAAAGTGATTTAAAAAAATACAATTAAAATTTCCCCCCCAAATGTATTTATTTAATATTTCTAAGAGCTACCTGCAAAATTTCATATTGGGATCTAAATGGGATCACAGTACCAAAAAATATTTTGTACATACATGTCTGCCTTATTGGGTTCTATTTAGGATAAATTGGTCTTCTCGGAGTAAAATATAACAGAATAAACAAGACTTCAAACTATAATATCAGTTACTTCAGGCATTTCCTTAGAAAGTTATTCACTTAACATGCATCTGAAAAGCTAGCCAAGCTTTTCTTTTTAAAATGTGTTCCAAAGCAGAGTGATAGAATTAACGCTGAGAAAGAATTCTTGTTTGTGATGGCCACCAACCTAAATGACTTTTTAAAAAGGGGATTGGACAAAGTCATGGGGGAGAGGGCTATGCTCTGTCTCCAAAGTCGAAGGCAACGGTGCTTCTGAATACTGTTTGCTAGTTTCCTACAGGCATCTGTGTGGCTGCTTTGAGATCAGGATGCTGGACTAGATGGGCCATTGGCCTGATTCATCAGGGCTCTTATGTTCTTACCCATTAGTTCACTCCTCCTCTGGGTTTCCTGCTAGAGTAGAGGTTGTCAACCTCTTGGAGTCAATGGTTCCCTTGACCAATTGCATTCTTTCTGCAGCATCCCTGTGGGGCTCAGGAGCCCAGCTATGTCACCCCTTGCCTGCAGAGCTGGCAGCCTCTCACCCTTTTTCACCCTTGTGGTGTTCCGTCCTCCAGGTAGCCACTGTTGCCGCCCCTGGACTCTGAACTCCAAACCCTGATGCCCACTGCCCCACAAGGGCCTGGGAAGAGGATGCCCCCAGCCTTAGTGGCCCAATGGAGACTGGCCAAAGGTGAAGGTGAGGCCAGCACCTTACCTTGAGAGACAGCAGTGGCAGCTGCCGGGCCTGTATGCGCACTTCAGCACCAGGCACTCAGCTCCCAGGCAGACCTTGCACAAAAAAGGCCAGTGCAACACCTGCCTACCTGGCCTCCCACTTGTCTGTCCATTCCCAACAGCAAGGGCTAGTGGACTATCTGGCTGGGCTCCCTGGAGTGCTTGCTTGCTTATTCTGAAGCCACCTCAGCTCCTGGCAACCAGCACCCCCTGGCCACCACAGAGGCACCATTTGGGGAGCTTGTAGCCAGGGCTGCTGCAACTAACAGCCATGTAAGCCTTTGGGAGGCAGAGACATGAGAGGGCATCAGAAGAGGGAGGGAAGGAAAGAGGCACCCCTGACTCCTTCAAGGCACCCCAGGGTGCCACAGCACACTAGTTGAAATCCACTGCGCTAGAGGATTTCAAGAGGATTGCTGTAGGACAGGCATGTCCAAAGTCCGTTTCAGGGGCCTAATCCAGCCCGCCGGTTGGTTTAATCTGGCCCCTGTGGCAGTTTATTTCCTGGGGTAAAATCCTTAAAAAACCTCAACAACTTCAATCCTAAAACCTCAACAACTTTTGTTGGCCCTTTGGTCGGCCCTCACGGCCCTTCACTTCATCAAATCTGGCCCTCTTTGAAATAATAATAATAATAATAATAATAAATTTATTATTTATACCCCGCCCATCTGGCTGGGTTTCCCCAGCCACTCTGGGCGGCTTCCAATCAAGTGTTAAAAACAATACAGCATTAAATATTAAAAACTTCCCTAAACAGGGCTGCCTTCGGATGTCTTTTAAAGATAAAATAGCTGCTTATTTCCTTCACATCTGAAGGGAGGGCGTTCCACAGGGCGGGCGCCACTACCGAGAAGGCCCTGTCTGGTTCCCTGTAACCTCACTTCTCACAATGAGGGAACCGCCAGAAGGCCCTCGGCGCTGGGTCTCAGTGTCCGGGCTGAACGATCGAGGTGGAGACGCTCCTTCAGGTATACAGTTTGGACACCACTGCTGTAGCGTGTAAGCACAGTTGCCTTTGTTTCCGGCGTTGTTGATGCATATGCTCACCTTTTCCTCCATCAGCTACAATACGGAGGTGTCAGAAATTCCTAATCCAGTACAACAAGGACCAGCTGCTCCTGCTGCTACGCAATTGCTCCAATGAAGGTAACAAACTGCTTGGCTTGCAATGTTAAAATGGAGAAAGGCTAGACTAGAGCCTAGAGCTCTAGCCGCTAGAGCCTCTGTGAGAAGAAACATTAAAACAATTACCGCATTTTTCTCTCTATAGGACGCACCAGACCATAAGACGCACCTAGTTTTTGGAGGAGGAAAACAAGAAAAAAAATATTCTGAATCCCAAAAGCCAGAACAGCAAGAGGGGTCTCTGCTTTTGCTGCACAGCGATCCCACTTGCTGTTCTGGCTTCTGGCATAGCTGCGCAGCCTGCATTCGCTCCATAAGACGCACACACACTTCCCCTTACTTTTTAGGAGGGAAAAAGTGAGTCTTACAGAGCAAAAAATACGGTAATTGTTGAGCTTGAGGCAGAGTGGAATGTGGAGGCTGCTTCTCTCCTAGTGGGTTCAGGTGGGGCACTGCCTCTCCCTCTGAACAGGTTGTGGGGTCTACTGAGTTTCCATTGATCTGGTTGTGGTGGGTAGCATGCTGCCGCCACGTGAGTATTTACCTAGTGAAGGGCTGCCTGTTATAGTTTTGTGGGAGCATTAAATAACAACAGGGTTGTGGGCCAAGCCACAGCTATAAAGGGACATCTAGAAGCCTTACAGTGCACTCCAGATTATTTCTCAGGCAGGTGGGGCATTCAGCATCAATTGCAACCCTTGCGAGGACTGGCTGCATTTGGGAGCTGAAGTGCAAGTCTTGCTTTTGGCAGGGACTTTTGTAGCCTGCTGCTTCGAATTCAAGAAAAGCCTGCAAATGAAGAATCGGCAGCATACACAGTGTGCCCTTAATTCTCCTTTTGAATCATATGATACCTGGTGGCTGATTAGCACAGGGAGACTAGCCATTTTTCTCAAAAGTGACCCATGTAGGGTGAGGCCATAACCAGTTTTGCACCCATACCTACTGGATAGGGTAGCAGTGCAGATTGCTTCCAGGCAATCTCTGTTTTTTAAAAAAGTTTCTAGCCTTTACAGCTGATAGGCTGCCCAGAATCCTTTGCAACAGTAGAAGAGGGCTAACGCAAAGGTAGAAAAGCACCACCCTAGACTGCCTTGTATATCACAATGTCCTTTGAGTTTAACTTTTTTTTTTTTACACAGCAGACAGACAAGCCATCCAGAAGTCGATGCAGAGCTGTGCACTTGTGGGAGAGCAGCAGTTTCAGAGTCACGATGAAGACAGCGATGTTAGCACAGAGATGGCCTGAACAAAGCAGTAGTCTGTGGACTCTTGTAGGACAAGGCCATTTATATGAGGGATTCTTGCTGGCAAGGATCAATATTTCTCTCCCCCAGTTCTTTTTAAAGCAGTTAATGTATATGGTAATAAAATAGATAAAAGCAAATAGTTATGTCCATGTACTGTCACCTGGTTTGCAGCCTGTTCATAGTGAAGGCTTGTGCTATGATGCTACTGCTAGTATCCACAGAACTATACATCTGCATCTGTCCCCCTGCTGAGCTTAATACTTTCTTGGGAGAGCAGCCCACCTGTTGCTTGCACGCAGAGCGTGTTGTAAGTTTGATAACCCCCTGATCTCTTAAAATGGGATGTCTAACTATCACAAGCTAGCTGAAACAGAGCAGTCAGACATTCCATTTTCATCCAGTTCTTCCTCTAAAGCAGTCTTTCCCAACCTGGTGCCCCAGAGAGGTTTTGGACTCCCATCAGCCAGCAGTTGTAGTCCCAACATTTCTCAGGCTGGGGAAGGCTGCTCTAAATCCTTGAAGGTCACATTTGTGGTGGGCTACACATGCGCCCCCCCCCCGTGAATCTTGGCACATACCCCTTGGCACTGGGAAGAGGTAATTGACTGCATGGTTCGATGGGTAGAGACCATATTGGCACTGAGAATGATGAGGCACAATTTGCCAAACAACCGAGAATAACGCAACTGCAATGGGGAGGAAGAGGCATCATGTGCCTGCCACCTACCTACTGAAAATATGTTTGGTGGTAACAGCTTGGCCTTCTCCAGTGAAACAATTGCTGTGTCAATAGAACCTGCAGCCAAGCGGGAAGGAAAATATCCTCTGCTTTGTTGTTTTTAGTCTTGGCCAGGCTTTGTGCTAATGTGGTGCCCCTTCCATGTTTTGGAGGAGAGTGCTATTGATTGCTACTGGCCATGATAGAGGCTATATGCTCTGACTTCACAGCTAGAGGCAACAATGCTGCTGAATACTAGGTGCTGGAAGCCACAGGAGGAGAGTGCTCTTGTGCTTGGGTCTTGCTTGCTGGTTTCTCATAGGCATCTGGTTGGCCACAGCGAGAACAGGATATTGGACTAGATTGGCCACTGGCCTGATACAGGATCTTATGTTCTTATGACTACCTATGACTCACTAGATGAGAGCTGTAGTCCAAAGCATTTGCATGGTTCCAGGTTGGCAAAGCCTGCTTTAGGCTTTTGTCCAAAGTACAAAAATTGTAAAGGCTCAGCTGCTAAAGCCACATTAAGTCTAAGCTAATTCAGCCAAAATAAAAACTGGCACCAAGGTCAGCTTTTGTACATTACAGCTTTTATAGGACCCTCAGATACTAAAACTGTCTTTGGGGTCTTCCCTTAAATAAACGGGAAGTCAGGTTTGGTTGGAAGACATTTGTTTCCTGGTCATAGAAATGAACCTAAAGGAAAAGGGCTTGATGCAGAATAGTCTGTTTAAAAGAGAGTAAGGTACAGCTCAGGGAAACACCTTGTGCATATGGTTTATTGCAACTAATTTCACCCTTGCTGGTATGGTACACTGAAGTTCATTGTATTCAACGGAACTGACACTTTTATTCTTAGTAGTAATTAGTTTCAGATCAAGCCACAAGCAGTGCAGAATGAGACCACTTCTCAAAACAAAGTAGGGGCTGGAAGAGTGAGGAGAGAAAAAGAATGGAAGGCTAAAATGTACATTATACAAACCCAAACTGAATCCCAGAACCAAGCAAACGGAAGACCATGACTTCCCTTAGGGGTTTGACCTGCATGTGCATACAATCTACCTGTTCTGCGCAGGGGGGGGGGCATTCTAATTTCTCTCCAAGTAACCTTAGCACCATTAACACCCAAGAGCAGCAGAAAGGGCATTACTCTCTCTTGCCTAGCTGAATACAATTGGCCTCCAGAACCCATCAGATTACTCAGGAAAGCCTTCCCAAAGTACCTTTCCCCAGCTTTTGCCCTTTGGGGAAAAGATTAAAAATAGCAGGTATAAGTTGAATTATTTCCTCCTCCACTACCTCCCCCCCAATTCTTTATAAGCAGCGCTAATCAAAACGACACAACAATCAGTGTATGCTCTATAGCCAGGTTCCTTTAGTTACCAATTTGCCAGGAGCAGATGTTATCACCCAGCCCACTGCAGTCAGTAGACTCCTTTTCACACAGGCCGGAAGCATCAGGAGCTCCCTGCCTGCTTCAAGTGACAAGCAAGTGTGCCGTCCTGACCACAGTATTATTCCCAGGTCAAAGGAGTTATACTTGGCACAGCCCTGGCACTTTGGCTTCTGCGATGCAATACTTTGTTTTGGTATTAACTGGACAAGTACTCCTTTTTAATTCCTATGCACCTTCCCAAGTCCTAGAAACAGACTTATTCTGCTCAAACTTAAATACTTTTTTTTCTATAGCAGCAAAAACACAAAAGCAAACAAAAGAGAACCAGGTGAAGAAATCTGTCCGTTAGTATGATCACTTGGTATGAACCACTGAAGTGCTGAACAGCAACTTTTGCTTCTGCTTCTTTTTCTTGCCTCTTTTTTCCTCTGTAAAAGAAACAACAGCCTGAGTCACCAGAAGCAACATGTTCCCTATCAGAGATGCTAAACTAATGACTTACTCCAAAGAAGCAATTTCCTTTTATATATGCACACACACCCTGCAATAAGGGATCATCCTGCAACTACAGGAGCCCATTTAGGCCTTTGACTTGTTGCTGGACTCCAGCTCCCATCAGCCACAGCAGCCTGCATGGCCCAGGGTGATGGAAAATATATAGTCCAGCAACCTCTGCAGGGCCACAGGTTCACTGTCCCTGGGCTAAATAAAAACTCATCCCTGGAAATATAGAAACAGGGCAGGCTTCCTGTGGGAAGGCGTCCACTGGCAAGCTCTTTCATTCTCAAGCCCCCTAGCCTTTGGATCAAAAACTTTCAGCTTCCCATTCAAGCCTTTGAAACGCGGATGCCTGGCTGGTCACTGGCCAGAGCAAGGGTGGGGACATAATCAGTGGCAGTAGGTCCCATGACGAACCCTGCACATCTCAGAGAATCAAGCTGGCCCAGTAAACTCCCACAGCATCAGAGCAAAGATGACTGTGAGACTGTATAAGCATTGTTCAACATATCTAGCTAGGTTTGCCCTTCACTGTGCTCCAATATTATGTACGACTATCAGAAGCACCTGAATTGTAGATTGCCATGTCAGGCATCACCCAAGAGGGACATTGCAAATGTACCATAGACAAGCGGTTGTGCAAGTCTCCCCCTACATCAGCGTTAAGGAGCTGAACAACTGAGCGCCCCCACCCACACTACTGGGCTATTTCCCATCTCTTTTCTTACCCAAGAGATGGTCAGAAGTGGACGGCTTGTCCAGTTTCAGGAAGGCTGCCTCGATAGCTTGGCTGAAGGAGTTCTGGAAACTAGGCACAGGTACACGGTCCGAGTTATCGCTCTCCCCATCACTGTCTCCTGGAGCGGGCGGAGCCAGGGTGGAGTTTTCCTCTGAAATAAAAGCGGCTGTTTTTAAATCACTGGGGAGTCTGAACAGGCCTCTGTCATAAGTGCTCTGAGGCACCACTGAAAAGAAACACACATAGACACCTGATATCCTTCCATTGTAAGACAAAGGCTTTTATAAATTGAGACAGGCTTTTGGCTTGGCTGACTTTATTTATGGATCCTTTTAACTTGCTCTAATGTAGTCACTATTTGGTGTTTCATTGCTAGCGACTTTATTTTTTATTTAAAAATGTGACAAACATCTTTAACCATTTTATCGTAATTTTTTATGATTGGTGTTAACCATCTTGCGTGCCATATATAGAAAGGTTGGCTATAAATTGAGATAGACTCAACTCTACAAAGGTGCTGCCTCTTGGAGACACTAAGCTAAGAAGAATCACTTTGCTTACCTTTCTTCTTTGGCTGAAAACTATTCCATGTTTCTGGTTTAGCTTTTCCAGCCCTCAGCATCTACCAAAAACAAGTACAAGAGTCAGATCAGCCGCACGCTACCAATCTGTGACTAAAGGTGGCTTGAGATCAATGGAGGGCATTTCAACAGGACAGCTAAAGCTACTTTAAAGGTTAACGTCAGGAGCTGGAGTAAGGAATAGGTCAGGAATAAAGCACCTGATGTCAGTGAAGTTAACCCATTATTCAAAGAAACAAGAACAGCTCTGTCCTAGTGGTCACAGCTGGTGTCGCCCACCACTCTGCATCCAACCAGCCCATGACAGTTATTGATAGCAAACACCTTTTCGTGGTTTACTCAGAAGTGATAAAGCAGTGTGGACAATTTTGTAGTTCTGGGTTCAGGCTTCATTTATGCTTGAATCACAAGCAGATTCCTTAAACAATTCTCGTAATGAAGAACTGATTGGGTGCAGCGGAAAGTCCTGCACAAAGCACACACCTGGGCAAAGGAGGGGAGGGTAGATTCCTCCTCCAGATTTCCAACAAAGAGTGAAGGGCTGCCAAGACTGCCTGCGGGAGACAGTGGAGTATACATGGACTCTGCAAGGAGAAAAATCACACATTTACTATACAAACTAAGAGTTGTGTTATTAAGGAGGCATGATAGCAGGTATAGGCTTTCATGCACCTGTGCATCCTTTCTCAGGTACTGGTCTTCCAAGTCTCATTAGTTTCATGTTTGATGCTATTTTAAATTCAGCTATTTTAAATTCAGGAACACCTTCCTTCCAGTAGCTGCTATTCAGGTGTTCCCCTGACTTTTGTCTGCATTACCCCACCCATGGATGATTCTGCTAAGGAACTGGAAGTAAACCTTTAGAGAGTGATCACAGTGGCTGGGTACCCAGGTCTTTTTCAGCTGCTCACCTGATTGAGAAATGGGACTTGAACCAACAGGAGAGAGCAGAGCATCACTCTGGTTCTCAGTGCCTGCATACTCTCCTGAGCATGCGCTGAAGGCAGGGAACTGCTGCAAGTTCTCTAAAGCAATATGAACTTCTGGATCTAGACAGAAAACCAAAAGTTTTATCTCTCTGACAAAAGTTATTCACTCCTATGCCAATGATTCAGATCAATTCAAGTGACATCTACTCCCTCATGCATCTTCTTCCTTTTCAGAGGGGTGTTAAAGCCATATTGCCATTGAGAAATTCATTAGCTTCAATGCTTAAAATATGGCATTCCCACCACCTGCCATTTCTACATACTCACTGGCCTGTTTCAAATTATACCACCACCACCCCGGTCACAAAAGGCCAACGTGAGTCACAACCGCCCCCCTCTCCTCCCACTTACTAAGGTGCTTCCATCTACACCAATCGTCAGACCAAGCAGTTCTTTATAGAAGAGGAGGGCAAGGTTACCACTTACATCTGCCTTGCTTCTTGTTCTCCTCCATCTCAATCCTGCGCTCCCGACGTCGCTCATCACGAGCTTTCTTCTGTCTCAGACGCTTCCTTTTCTCAATGTCATCTAAGAGCCATTGGGAGAGTTCCCGGGTGAGACAGACTGCTCAGAACAGCAAAGAAAAAGCACCTTCCCTGTTCCCCTTTGGTAGTAGTCACCAGTGGCACCTCCTTTAGAAGCCCAACAATGATGGGGTTTCAGTTTCCATTTTCTGTTGCAAGATTAGACTTCACAGTTTTCCAATATTTGTTTCCAAACCCAAGCACACCCACATCCATTACATGCCCCCCTCTCTTCTCAGCACTGAGCCTTAAATCAGGGTGGCTAACATGGTGCCCTCTAGATACTGTTGGACAGCAACCCCCATCATTCCTGACAACTGGCCAAGCTGGCATGGGATTGATGGGATTTGGGAGTCCAACAACAACATTGGGAGGACACCATGCCGGCTACTCCCATTTTAAGTTATGTGGAAAGCAACTCTTCAGCTACAACTGGGAATTGCAACAGAAAAACAGAACTTCCCAATGCTCACCTGAGAACATCTGCAGTGTTTCCTTCGAAATGATAGGAGGCTTCAAAGCTAGTTCACAGATACTGAACTCACAGGTGAGTGGCAAATGACACAGGTAACGATGACGCTGCCGCACGTCCTGCAGGTGGGGTTGGGGGTTTAGAAAGAAGAGAGCTGGTTGTGCAACCTTCAAACACACCTCCCTGCCTGGGCATATGACAACGCATAACAGAAATGTTGATTTTTTTGGCGAATTTACTTAGAAATAGCTCAAAAAATGAAGATTTTTGGGGGAGATTTTGAAAGAAAAACTAAACTTTTGTGTCTGGATTTTCAATTTTTGAAATATGGTAACCCTACCCCATACCCATTCCCTGAAGTCATGTTGTGTAAAGAGAATGCTGGTCAATGTAAATAAAAAATGCCTTATTTTTACCAAATAAAGCCAAGCCAGTGCCAGTTATGAGTATTTCCAAGTGTGAGAAACACTCAAGTGCACCTAAACCCGCCTCCCGGCACACAGCCAGAAAATCATTCCAGGACATAATAAATTCTTGCAAAGGCAAAATCTATGAAGGTACCTATACCTCAGACAATAGCTCAGCCACAGTCAAAATACACACTCAGGGCAATCCGGGGTGTCGTTACCTCTGTCATGGAGTGGCCAGATATCTCCACCACAGTGGCTGTTATTTTCTCTGGGCTCTTCTCCAGGCTGCCGTACTCGTGCACAAGACAGCGGACATTCACTGGGTGAAGGTACAGGCACTGCCCGTCCTCAGCTACAGCATTGGAAGAGAAGTTGCAGGACAGTTATGGAAAGCAGGGGAAACAGGGCAACGCGCCCTGCTCTCTTGACCCACTTACGAGACACAGCAGCCCCAAGTCTACACAGTGCTCCTCTGCATGCACCTGGGGCTGCTGCACATAGGTTTTTAATTGCCAAATGCCACTTAAGCAGCATATAAATTAATAATAATTAATAAGAGGAATAATCCAGTAGGGTATTTGATTCTGCCTTGAATAGCCACCTCACTCCAGTTCCAAACGTCAATTGCAAACCACCTTTGAGACTCTAGCAGGGACTGCTGTTCAATAGTGTTTCGCTTAATTATGGCATCCCCGGAAATGCAGTGGGTCATTAAGCCTTTATTTGCACTTCTGAGAGTCCATATTGATGTTTCGCTTTCCCCTCTCCCAGCATCATTACCACTGCCTCCAAAACTAGAACATAGCAGATTCTCCTTATTTCTGAGAGCAGAGTACCAAAGAATCTCCTGTTTTCTTCAGGGAAGTAGCTCTCAATCCATCCTTGGGAACCAATAACCTAAGAGCCCCCTTTGTGTGTAGCACCCACCTACACCCAGGTAGCACAAAACAGGGAGGGCATCGCTCCACAGGGCACTGACAACCCCTCATTTTTTGTTCTGCTATGTGTCTCTGCCTCAACCAAAGCTCTTAAGGCCTTTTCCCCGCCCCCAAAAGGCTGGCTTCCCTTGAAGAAAGTTATTGTTGGTGAAGCATGTCACACAGTGATCTTCTGAAGCCTTACATCAGGGGTGGGGTACCTCAGGCCTGGGGTCCTAATGCAGCCCCCCAAGCTTCTCTGTTTGGCCCCTCAGGACCCTCCCCTAGGCCAGGCCTCTCTCCTCTGTACCCTCTGTGAGCAGATTTGCCTAGCTGGAATGGATCCTTGAATTATGATAGTATCTCTTGCTCATTTGGATGAAAGGTAAAGAGACATTGTGTGTCCACTGCACAAACATGTAGCCATATCCATCACACTATGTACTTTTTGCCTTTGGCCTGTCCACCACTGACATGCTGCCCCCCAGAAGGCTCCCCACGAGGAAATGCAGACCTTGAACTGCGAAAGGCTTCCCTACCCTTGCCTTGACATTGTTGAGCTAACCTTGATAGAAGTAGTAGAAAGGGGTGGTGCTTGGGTGCCCACTGCTGAATGCTGTTTCAGGTTTCTCGCAGGCAGGTTCAGGCAGACTGGCTCCTTCCATCTCACTTGTGCCCAGTAGGTCCCTGCCAGATTCCTCGGCATCATCCACTCCCACTGCCTCTTCCACCTCAAAAGGGGGCAGGACAGCAGCCGCAGAATCTACAGGAGGTGGCTCCAGGATTTCTTCTTCAAAAGCAGAGAGATACTCCAGAATAGGCTGTTAAGAATAGAGAGTTGTTGATATCCATCTTTCTCAACCCATTCAAGCAAGCAAGTTATCTCTGCCATCTCTTTCCTGAAGTCACCCTGGAGTGTTTAGCTTAATGGTCTCTGGGGCACAAGGACTGAAGCTAGGTTCACCCCATTCTAATGACCTTAAAATAGTTATTGAATAGAGTGAGATAACAATATTTCAAAAGCACTCAAGCTCTCACCTTCCTCTCCTGGGTCGCTACTACTACTGCTACTGCTTCTTTGTCAGATGACTCCGTCACAATGAGAGCCTCCACAGCTGCCGTGGTTCCTGCAACATCACTCTCTCTGCTTTTGTCGGACATCAAGTTTCCCTCTCGATCCTAAAAGCCAAGCCAAACATTGTTAATTTCAGCATCACATCAACAGCCTGATGCTCTCCAGATGTTTCAGACTGCTCCTCTTGATGTTTAACCATCACTTACGCCCTTCCAGAGAACAAGAAACAGGCACTGGTGACAGTGGCAACAAACTACCTGGGTTCTGTGTGACTTAAGGTCAAACCCATCTTGCAAGGTTATTGTGAAGATGAAAGAGAAAACTGGAAGCAAGAGTAAACTGATGAGTCAAGATGAAAGAGTAAACTGGAAAAAACCCTTAAAAACCATTATTCCTAAATAAATAAATAAAGACAAGCCTACCCAGATACTTAGAAATGCTGATGTGGTTTTTAATCTCTTTTAGTATATTAATTTCTTGCATGTTTTAATGTATTGCACAATTCCCCTGATTTTATGGCACGACCTTTTTGTAAACTGCTTTGAGGGTTTTTACAATCAAGTGGTGTATAAATTTTTACAAAATAAATATTCCTATTTGCTCAAGCTACAACTTCAGCAGTATTTGTGCTTGTCAACACCCCTCCCCCCCAAAAAAAACCCCCACCCTTTGGCCACCTGCCAAAATAGGGAAATACACAATAAAAATGCTCGGAGTCACTCACATTGAACAGGTGCCATGAGCAACTAGTAAAACCTGCGGATTTCCCTACATCACATTACTCAAAACCCGGCGATGCCTCACCTTCAGCTCCTGAATGGCAGCCTCAATGAAACATGCTTCAGGTGTGTGCTTGTCCTCCTCATACTGGCGCAAGAGTGCCACCTTCTCTTCCAGGATAACCTCCTGCAGCACCTGAGCCTTGGAGGCCAGAAGCAGCTTGGAGTACTGTCCATGTTGCTCATCTGGACAAAGACATGCCAAGTTAATGGTACACTGAGATGAACGTAGCCATCCAGTTGGAAGACATCCTACAAGTTAACACTCTTGTGATCTGCTTGCTGTCTTGATAGCCACAGCCTGCATTTATGCCAGAGGTGCAGCAATGCTTTCCCAGCTGTTTAGGGGCTCTAGAGGCCTTCCCTAGCAACCACAGGGGTTGCTCCCCTCCATTAAATTAGGCTTGAAAGAAGCCTTCACTTGCAGCCTATATACTAGGCTGCAGTGAGTGCTTGGCTGCCTGGGATGTGTGGTGCCCGGGACAGTCTCTCTGGATTGCAAGGACTGTCAGCACTCCCTGCTTTACCACCTGAAACCTTTTGTTCATTCTCTATCTGCTATTAGGGTCCAATGGACCCCTTTGAAGTCCCAGGTGGAAAGATATAGCTCCACTGATTTTTGAAGTCCCAGCTGGAAAGATATAGCTCCACTCCAAGACTGATTTTTGTGCTGCTCCTATTCATTTCAAGGCAGCTCAAGCCAGAAAACTTTGTACTAGATTATGCCCCAGATACTGCACAAATGGCAGCAAGGTCTACCCAACTTCCCTCTTTGCCACTCACCTCCTAGATGAATAGGCTGTTCCACATTCACCAGCTTTGACTTGGGCTGCGGTATCAAGACACCTTTCCCCCGTCGCATCAGTTGCATGGTAATTGTGTCGCCAATTGCATACTGACGGGTTTCCAAAGCAACAACGCTGCAAAAACAAAAGGGAAGTGATGAGCGATAGGTGACTTGTGAGCCAATAAAAAATAAGGCATCGCTCAGAGAACCTCTTTTACCTTTTCAGGTCTTTCTTGTGAATCGAGCCATAACAGATGGGGCACTTACTCCAAGTCTTCTCACTCAAAGAGAGATAATGCAGGATGCATGCCCAGCAGAAGATGTGCCCACAGCGAGTGATCTTGGCAGCAGTAGGCGGGTATAAGCATATTGGGCAAGAGGGGACTTCATGGCTGCAAATCCGCTGGGAAAGTGCAACAGAGTACCATTTACCATGCTATCATTTCACTCTAAAATATGACCTTAATAGACTGGAGAACTGAGCCCAAACTCAAGTGGTAAGTGGCCAACCTGTCTAAGTTTGTGTAATAAAGCTTTCAAGGCAAGTGCATTACTACTTACCACTTGTTCCACAAAGTCCCAGTTGACCAAGGTGTCTGGGTCAGTGAAATGAACTGTGTAGTCCTGGTCATCACACACCACAAACTGGCAGCTGGAAAGCACACACAGAAAAAACAGAAAATATTGAATACTTATCTGATGCTAAGCTATCTGAAAAGAATCCAGAAATACAGGTATTCAGGATCACAATTATGTAAGACTAGTGATGTCAAATTCTCAAGAATAATCTTTTGGGGAATATTCTCGAGAATATTCTTGATTAATGAAAATATTGAAGAATTTTCATTTAAAATAGGAGAATATTCATTTTAATGCATTGAAAGTGATATAATTAGTTAATATACATGTTTATTCATGGGTAAACTTGTTCAGATGGCAACCAAAAACTGTACAGATACTTTTATTCAATGGGGCAATGCAGTCAATTCACATTCTTTGATTTTTTGCACCAAACCTGAAATTGAAAATTCAACCTGAATGACTCTCGTTAATCACTAAGCCTGCTACTAACCGTAGCAACAATTCTAATTATGTTGTGTATGTATAATTGATTTTTAAAAATCATTATTCATTACTTACACTGACAATATCAAGCTTGACTTATTATTTACTAAAAAAATTTAATGTGGCTTGTAAAACTGGTTCTTACATTAGAATTTAGTTTGTGGAGAATATTCGCCGGAGAATTTTCTAGCAGAGAATATTCTCACCTCACGTCACTACATAGGACAACATAAAAAATAATAGCAGGATCACATTAGTACAGGAGTGGGTAGCCTATGGCCCTACAGATGTTTGACTCCCATCTCCCATCATCCCCAGGAATCATGGCCAATGGTCAGAAATGGTGGCAATTGTAGCATGGCAACATCTGAAGGACAACAGGTTAGTCACCCCTGCCTTATTACAGTATTACTAGTATGTGGATCAACTTCATGCAGGAAGCCAATCCAACACTTACATATTTAATAAAGAATAACATGGTACCAAAGAAGAAATATTGAAAATGCCTTCATTTCCTTCAATTGTTACCTTTCAAGGCTTACTCTCAACTCACTCTCGGAATTACTACTACAAAAGGCTTCTAAAGTGTCTATAGAAACCAGAGCATAAAATTTAAAAGTGCACAATGAATCATTCCTAGGTCTTTCTGCCCACAAAACCTTCCAAGTAGAGACTGCTACATAAAGTCTCATTAAACTGGGAAAACAGCACAACAATATAATCACAGAAGTTTCACCAAAATCATAGCAATGTAAGAAAATGAATACATTTTCCATTTTTCTTTGCCTTGATTTTTGCTGGCCTCATTCTCCCTTGGGCACATGAAAGGCAACAACAACCTTATGTTGACCTCCCACTCACTTGGCCTGTAGGAAAAGCTCCTTGCTGAAAGGCTTGTTCTCCCATCTGTTCCTCTTGCCCCAACTGCCACGGCCATTCCCAACGTAGCTTGCTTGGCCGCGAGGTTCAAAGGTGAAGTTCAGCAAGTGGTTCAGGCTAATTTTCTTGGGTCCAGAGAACTGGGCAGGGCTGAACTCTGCCCGCTGGGCCTCTGCTACCTGAAAAGACAATGAGTCACTTAGAATACACCAATAAAACAGTTTTCAAAAGCTGTACCCCATAAACATGGTTTTTTGCACTGGTGTGTAGTGTAGGCAACACATGTACAAAGAGCATTTACTATAAAAGACTGCTGCACTGTAAGATTTAGTACACAAATGAGAGTAACACCTTCAGTGTTTTGGAGGCTCAATTCAGACAGCAATGTTCAAATCAGTCAGTTTCAAACAACTCTTATTCCACAACACACAGGAAAATTAATTTTACATCAAATTTGATAAATTACAAGCCAAACATCTGAGATCATTACTTCCTACTCAATTGCTAACTTACTTGTAAGGCCTATGATGAGCACATTTTACAGCATGAAATACCAATTGGTATTGCTAACAACTGGTATTTCAAATAAACAGATTACACTGTCTGTCAGATAAATTTTAGCTGCAGAAGAGGCCAGGTCAGATATGGAGACACAAATGTAGATCTTTCAACAGTTTCATCCATTCCTTACATATCTTTCTGCTAGTTGTACAAGCAAAACTTAACACACTACAGACTCATCAAAACAAAACACTATTTGTGGTACTTTAGGCATGGCATGTCCCATTGTGGCTGCATAAAAGAAGGGTTTTGATGTTTTTAAAAATGGATGTTATCCACCCCTGGATAAGGGGCAGCAATTGAAGATAAGCTTCCTAACAGGTAAAGGAAAGAACTTATCGCACAACACTTTCTAGTTGCTGTTCTAGCTTCCTCCACAGCTGTTGGCACCAATTTAGATTTGAAGATGAGGTAAAAATCACTATACAGAATCCTTTCCCATTTTTCAGAACACAGCAAAAGAGCACAAGCACATTCTACACAAGATATGTAGCATCACCATGCAATCATCCCGTCCCAAGAAATATGGCTGGTCCGGCGAGACAGATTCTCACCTCATCTCGTCTTCCACCATTAGAAGAAGAGCTAAAAGGTTTGCTGCCACTGCCATGCCCACCCCTCTGAGGGGGCATCTTATTAAAAGCTTTGCTTTTCTGTGAAGAGGAGCGACGGGATTGGCTGGCGAAGTTATCATTTTTGGGATACGAAGTTTCTCGTTTACGATTATAACGCTGTTTGGATCCACTTGCATTTTTTCCATCTAGAAAAAGAGATAAAGCAGTGGCTTTTTAAGAAAGCAATCCAAGTTCAGAGTCTCAGGGCTGGAAAATGGAATCTTGACTACAACTAAGCTAATCACCTTCAAGTAACCCCTACTGCAACATGCAGCATATACCATGTTAAAGCAACAAAAAATCAGTAGGATAACCCAGGAGAAGCTTTATCAAGAAGCAGAACACCACATGCAACCCGAAAAGTCACAGAAGCAACAAAATACATGTTTAGTTATTGCAAGGATGCATCCACATTGTTTTATGGGCTTTGTTACTACTCATCCCCAGAAAAAGCTACTTGAATATTTGTCTATTTTAACAGTGCTATTCTATACACGTACACTGAAAAGTCCCATTGAATTCAGTGGGGTTTACTACCAATTAACTTGGTAAAAGACTGCAGTCTCAGTGGTTTGTATTATTCATTGTTTTAAATTATGCCAAGAGAAAACTGCTAGGGAACATATAGTTGACATTAGACCATGTGATTGAGCCTGTCTATAGTAAATAGTTCTGTTTGTAAACAGTTATATAGGAGCAACGTTTTGTCTTTTTAAATGTGAATTGTTTATTTGTATGCTGAAGCTTTCTCCCCTTCAAGAGCAGCCAGTTGAACATATAGTGGGCATTTGTTGAACAAATCATATCTCTTGCATATATTGCAGTATCATGTTAAAAACTTGTTCCAGGAAGATAAACCTTTGCCTCTATTGCCACTAGTTCTGTAGTGACTCATGCAGAATAATCCGAAAGAAGAAATTACAGCTAGGGCAAAGGATAGTGCTTGCCCACATGGCTGATACTATAAAAATAGGGCAAAAAGTCTGATATCCTCACGCTCCTACTTGTGCCCAGAGCATTTTAGTCAGTCATATTTTCAGCTAGTCACACAACTTCAGCAAATACAGCTTACGTCAGGGGTAGCTAATGTGATGCTGTCCAGATGTTATGGACTAAAGCTTGCATCAGATCCAGGCAGCATGGCTAATGGTCAGGGAAGATGGTAATTTTAGCTTACAACATCTGGAGAGTACCGTGCTGGCTACCACAGTATGCACATATGGAACTTCAGTATTGCTGTTATCTACATATAGATATTTTTTCAGAATGCAGAGGCACTACCATGCCATTTTATTTTGTTATATTGTTATTTGATGGAGTGCTGGCCATTATGAATGAGATTTTAGGTAACACTCTATTAATTGGCTGAATATGCACATTATGCTAAATTATGGTTAGTTTCCTGTGATGTAAACAAACTGAAGGAACCTCAGCAGTACACTGGGTTTTTAGACTCCTTTCTGTGCAGCTAGGAGAAAAAAGGTTGAAAGCTTTTGCATTGGGTTAACCACAGCAGTCATACTTTCTGCAACAATAAACTGCACTTACATTAACTATGGTTTAGGTTCAACAAGCCAACTTCAAACTGCAGCTTGTTTAAACCAACTACAGTGAAGATTAACTACAGTTCTGAGTCCAGACAGCACAGCAACCTGTATTCAATAGGAAACAGAAAAAAAACCTTCCATACTTTCTCCTGGCTGTGCAGAGAGGAGTGGGCAGCGTAAAAACCTAAAGCTTACTGCAACTCGTCTTTCTTTTTTCTTATTATTTCAACTAGGCAATGGAGATACACCCAATAAACATATCTTAGACTAATAATCAAGACTTTTACCAACATCTAGCTGTTGTGATATCTTAATTATTTCCAGACCACTGACAATTGAGACTCAGGGGTCTATATATATGAGGGATGGGGAACCTCTGGAGCTCCCAGACATTTGGCTATGCTGATTTATGCTAATAGGACTTGGAACCCAACAAATGTCAAAAGTTGCCTCTAAGTCTACAATAATAATGGACAATCATAGTTTGCTAATTACAACCTTAAGAGTCAAATAGCTAAACAGCTAACTACAAGTAGGGAGGGAGTAATTAGATTCCTTTACAAGCAATACAGGTGACTTCTGCAGCTTGAATCACGTATGGAAGAAGGGTGTTTTTCATGAAAGACATTTGGTAACTGCCAGCCAAGTAAAAGGTCACAATAATAGTGCAACTGTTTGTTACACTGACCTTACCAGTATTTGAGGATTACGTACTCAGAATCAGCCACTTGCACAACTAGCTATGTAGATTAGAATATAATCAGTGCCGGGACACATGGTCTGTGAAAGTCAGAAGTAGCACTTGCTCCACCCAAACCTTCTATCTCCACACTACATTCTTTAGCAGCAGCAACCAACCATTAATTCAGTGTATAATCAGTCCAAACACAGCACTGCTTCCAATTTTGGCTATAAATACAGTGTAAGCAAGAACCCAGAAGTCATAACAAATACCCTTTGGACTTCAAAGACCATATTCCTGCAGAGAGGGAACTAATGGAAAAGGCAGAATACGATGAGAGACACAGGCAGGAGCCAAAGAGCAGCTGCAGATGAATTAAAAGAATCCTTGGATGCATTCAGCTTTAGATTAGCATCTTGACCACATAATCTAAACCTAAGATTGAGAACATAAGAAAAGCCCTGTAGGATCAGGCCAATGAGCCATGTTGTCCAACATCCTATTCTCTAATAGCCATCCAGATGCTCCCAAGGGAAACCCCCAAGAAGACTGGAACACAAGAGCACTCTTCCCTCCTGCAATTCCCAGTAACTGGTATTCAGAGAAATACTGCCTCTTACCAATGGAGGTTGAGCACAGCCACTATGGCTAGTAGCCACTAATAGCTTTCTCCTCCGTGAATTTATCTATACCTCTTCTAAAGCCATCCAAGTTTGTGGCCATCACTACCCCCCTATGGAAGTGAACTCCAGAGTTTAACTATGGGCTACACGTACAAGTACTTTCTTCTGTCTGTCCTGAATACCTGGCATTTTATCTGTCCTGAACTTATGTTTATGGCTGCAGTCCTATACACACCAAGACGGAGAAAATCTGCAAGATGTTGTGGAACTTAAAATAATTCATACCTGCCCAAAAAGCCACTTTCAGGGCATGAGGCACCTGTGAGGTTTGGTCACACACCAGGAACACTGAAAGAAGAGGACTTTCCACCAGCCCCTCCACCTTCTTGTGGCAGGAAGTTCCTATAGGGTGCTTAAGAGCAAGACTTGTGTGCTACCCTGTATTTTAACGATGGCTTGCATTATAGCCCACCTTTTCCTCCAAGAAGCTAAAGATAACACACATGGGCTCTCTTCCTCCAATACCCGGAACAACCCGTCTAGCTTGTTCAGGTTGTGCCTGGTCCCAGGGTCACCCAGCGAGCTTCCTGACCCGAGTGGGGATTCGAACCCTGGTCTGCCAGGTCCTAGCCTGGCACTCTAACCACCGCACCACCGGCTCTCCCTGGCACCTAGCACACACACAAACTGGAAGCCTGCCCAACTAACTCCCTTACCGCCTTTGGGCTTGGACTCTCCCCCGGCCGGGCCGGCCGAGTTAGAGCGGGGCTGCTGCCCTTTGCCTGCCGACGCCGAGGAAGAGGAGCCGGCGCCGAGGCCGGAGCCGCAGGGATTGCTCTTGTCCATCACGTCGCGGGCCGGAGCTGCTGTTGCTGCGACGGGCGCGCTCTGGAGCATTCACGGGCGCCGCGGAGGCGCTCTTGCGGATACTGCGAAGGAGGAGGCGGCGGCTGGGGCCGAGGCCCAGGCTCATGGCCCGGCGGCGGGGTCGGCGCAGCGCAGTCGTCTCGGCCACCTTCATGGCGACATTTTCCTCACGGCTTCGCCCTGAAGAGGGAAACGGAGACAGGTAGGCCTCAAGAGCCGAGTCAGAGGCGGAGGGGGAGGCGGGGGAGCCGGCCGGGCCTGCGGGGCCCCGCGGACGGAGCGGCGGCGGCGGCCGAGAGAGAGGAGGCGGCGAGGAGGGACGGAGCCCCGCGAGGCCCGGCCCGGCCTTGGCTCGAGGGCGTCGGGAAGGCCGCAGTGTCGCCGCCCAAGGGAAGCCCCCCGGGCCGCCTCAGCTTCTCTCTCTCTCCGCACGACCGTTGCCGCCGCTGCCCTGTAATGGCGACGAATCGCCGACCACAGTGACGGCCAAGGGCCCGGATGAGGCTGTTTGGGAGAGGTGGGAGGGGCCAGCCTCGGCCCGTCGCAAGGCACGCTGGGCTTTGTCGTTTCTCCCTCTACTGACGGAACAGAATCGGAACGCGGGGAAACTACAGCTCCCGGCATGCTCTCTTCGTCCCTGCGTCGGGCTTAGCCTTTTATTGAGAAGACCAAGGAGGACAAAAATAAAAGCAAGACTTCTGGTTTGCAGCTGGACCTTGCCGCATCGCCTCATGGGATTTGTAGTAGCGACTGGACTTAACTGTCAGGGGTCCTGCACCTTTACCTTTAATGTCTCTTGGTGCCAAAGCCGCGATAGGATACCCAGCACAATAGTCTTGTGGAGTCTTGAAAAGTAACAAATTTACAGTATTGTGGCATAACCTTTCGTGGACTGTTAAGACAGCTCATCAGATACATGAACTGTTATATTGAATTACAGGTAGATATTTAAAAGCATTTATAAACTGCTATAAATCTGATACATATGGTGTTTTATGGATGACAGTGAAGCCGTCTCCCTCTTACAAACAGAATTATCAGTGAGCGCTAGCCCATAAACGCTTGTGCCACAGTAGATTTGTTAGTCTTTAATACGCCACAGAGCTCTTCTGTTCTCGCAGTACAGGGAGAGTTGTTTTAGATTGCATTGCGGTCCTTATGATCGTCATGCACAAACTTTCATTTCACCCCGCAGTTGTGCTGAAGAGTCCTCCATGATGTGGTATAGCTAGGTACCACATTAAACTGTGTCTCATCATGAGAAGTTGGTAAGACGATCACGATGCATTTGCATCGTCCGAAGTGGGCATAATTTAGCATTTTCAGTGTGACCGTATATGTATCTATTCAGAAACAAGCCCAAATGAATTCAACCTTTTATATATTTTACCCCCCATTCTTTACACTTGCAAGTAAGTTCCTCTGACAGCCACAGAATTTAGCCCAAAAAAACTGCACATGGGATTTTGGCCTTAAGCAAATTCACATGTCGTTTGCATAAGGGGAGATACCTAATTTTACAACCACGCCTTAATTACGTCTGAACAGTGGCTATCATTTTTATACAGCTATGGCAATTCACAGAGGTGGTTAGACCAGTTTTGAAAACGCCCCAGCAATTCCCTCCGATGTTGGCGATGCCCATGACGTCGGCGTCTGGGGAGGAATGAGCCCGTGCGCGTGGTTCACGCCCTCTCCGCCTCCCCTTGAGAATGGGCGGAGCTACAATGAAAGGTGACGCAGAACCATTGCGACACCTAGCAAGATGGCGGCCTCCATGGTTGTTGGCTCCCGCAGGGTTTGGGACGGCTGCCGCCGCGGGCAAAGGGTTCTTCGCCTCCTTCGGGGCCTGTGCAGCGGGGGACAGCGCCCGGCCACCGACGGAGAGACGCATTTCGGGTTCCAGACGGTGTCTGAGTCAGAGAAAAGCGAGAAGGGTGAGCTAGGCGGAAGGGAGTAGCCAGGCCTCGGCTGAGCGGAGGCGGAGGGTTAATTTACGTGTTTGTTTTGTTTAAAATTGTCAATCTTTTTTGTGTTTTTTTACAAAAGTAACTCAAAGCGACTTACAGCAGTAAATAAATAACACATACATTAAAGGTAGCATGAAACTACAATAGAATAAATATCCTTTTAAAAAAATTATTATAACATTTATACTACACTAAAATCAGTGGGCCTACTCTGAGTAAAATATAGTTGTGGATACAAGCCTGTGAGAGGTCCAAGGTCACCCAGTGCTGAATGGGGATTTGAGCTCTGGTATTCCAGGCCCTAGTTTAACACTACTGTATAACTATTAACACCATGATTTTATTTTGCCCTTTATCACATTTGTGACCCTGGGAGGATTAGAAGAACAAATGCATAAAAAATTAAAGTTACCTGAACATTCAGTGACATACAACAAAACGTATAAAATTAATCGGGATTTAACATAAACTGAATATGCAGTGATGCAACAGAGTCTTGTGGCAAACTAAAGACTAACAAATTGGTTTTACACCATGCAGGAACTGAGTTTTCCAGGAGGATAGCCAATGATGGCTCCAGTTGACAGGAGGGAGGGAATGCTGTAGTTTGAGTGTCAACACAGAAAAGGTCTTGTCCTAGATCATCACACACTGTACCTCACCTATAAGTGGGTCCATGAGAAGGGCACAGGCCTTTGGGAGAGGTCTTTTTCAAAGATCCAGGTCTCAAGTCATTTAGGGCTTTATATGTTAAAGTCAACACCTTAAATTGGGGCAGGAAAGGTAACTGGGGAAAGCTTTCAGAAATTGTGTGAACCTACTTGAGCATTCTCACAGTAGCATTTGGAAGCAACCAGTTTCCAGCCCATTTTCAAGGGCAGCCCCATATAGATAATGTATAACAGAGCAGTGACAGGAATCTTTCTAGAAGAGAAAACGGCATCTGCCAGAGCAGATACTCTACCACTGAGCTACAGCCCTTCCCTGAAAGAAAAAAAAAGTATCTTGCAATATGTGGCAATGTAATCAACACATTATTTGATCATGATCAGTGATGCAGCTATCTTTTTCAGTTTACCAAGTTTTTGAAAATGTGGCTAAGAAGTATGATTTAATGAATGATTCAATGAGTCTGGGAATCCATCGTCTTTGGAAGGACAACCTGCTGCATCAAATGAACCCTTACCCTGGAAGCCAGTTGCTTGATGTTGCTGGAGGGACAGGTGAGACTCATGTTGTTCACAGGCATCTTTTAAGGAGCTTTAGTGCCATGTTTGAGACCATGTGTACAGTCATTTATTTTTTAGGAACTTAAGAAGCTGCCTTGGTCCACCTAGCTCAGATTTGTCAACCCTGACTGGTAGCAGCCTCTGGGAAGTGAGCAATCCCCAACAATCTGTATTGTGAAGAGATTAATGCTATTCAACTTGTTGCTCTGGAGTTGGGGGTGAGCAATGTATTAGGATTATAGGAAGCTGCCTTTTGCCAGGTCAGACCACTAGTCAAAACTGTCTGTGCTGACCAACAGCAATGGCTCTCCAGGGTTTCAAGTATTGTCTCTCCCAGCCCTACCAGGAGATGTCAGGGATTGAAACTGGAACTGTCTGCATTAAAAAGAGATGCTCCACCACTGAGCTACAACCCTTCCTGTTCACTTTTTAGTTTTTCAGGTTATTTGTTGGTTTCTAAATTGTATTTATATGTTGTGTTTGAATCAGGGTTATTCTAGCCTTCCAAAACCTGCTGGCCTCCAGATTTCATTGGACTACAACATCTATTAGCCGTGGCCAGCATGACCAATGGTCAAGAATGACAGTAGCAGTGGTCCAAATCACTTGAAGAGCACCAGGTTGGGAAAGCTGGTTTATTCACACTTCTGTATACATTCCTGGGAGCTTCTGATGAAGGGGTGTTAATGACTGAAACAAGTAATTAACAGTAGTACAATCCGCTGCAGATCTATTTGGCACCAAGTCACACAATCTCAAAGGAAATGACACTCGGGAAAGTGGGTGGACGTGGTGCTTTTTTATTATTTAGAATACTTTTCGTCAAGTGGTTCTCAACTTGGTTTTGCACAAGGTTGCAATAATACAAGATAATGAACACACACATGCTTTACCCTGCAACATTTAGTCCTCTGGTTGTTTGGGAAAGGGCCTTGACTCAGTGCTCAAGCATCTTCTTTGCATTCAAAAGGTTCCAGGTAGGACTGGGAGAGACTCCCTGCTTGAAACTCTGGAGAGCCATTGCCAGAACAGTGTAGGGAGCATTGAACTAGATGGGCCAATGGGCTGATTCAGCATAAGGCAGCTTCCGATGCACAACCTTTCCTGAGTGCTGCTGAAATTGGACTGTGCTTCCCTCTGGACATGGGACGCGGGTGGCGCTGTGGGTAAAAGCCTCGGCGCCTAGGGCTTGCCGATCGAAAGGTCGGCGGTTCAAATCCCCGCGGCGGGGTGCGCTCCTGTTGTTCGGTCCCAGCGCCTGCCAACCTAGCAGTTCGAAAGCACTCCCGGGTGCAAGTAGATAAATAGGGACCGCTTACTAGCGGGAAGGTAAACGGCGTTTCCGTGTGCGGCTCTGGCTCACCAGAGCAGCGATGTCATGCTGGCCACATGACCCGGAAGTGTCTCCGGACAGCGCTGGCCCCCGGCCTCTTGAGTGAGATGGGTGCACAACCCTAGAGTCTGTCAAGACTGGCCCGTACGGGCAGGGGTACCTTTACCTTTACCTTTCCCTTTCCCTCTGGACAGTCTCAGGACAGTTGGCATTTGGAGCTGAATGTTCTTCTTAGGTTGAATAAATGAACACAGCTTGAGAATGAATGACTACAGAAACTCCTAGCGTAGTACGTTAGTGCCCTTACAGTGCTTAAGCATTGAATTCTAGGGAAGAATCCCACATTGTGAGTCTTCCTTTCAAAACTATTGCAGGAGACATCGCCTTTCGGTTTATCAATTACGTTCGTTCCCAGCGGGAGCGACGAATCCAGCAGCAGCTGAGATCCCATCAGAATTTATCGTGGCAGGAGATTACCAAGCTTTACCATGAAGAGGATCATCAGTCCCTGGGAGGATCCCATGTGGTGGTTTGTGACATTAACAAGGAGATGCTGAAGGTTGGGAAGAAGAAATCACAACGTCTTGGTTATTCTAAAGGTAATAGACTGGCATTTCAGCAAAGGGATGGAAAACGTGTATAGATAGCCTCGATCAACATCTAAGTCCCACCCTTTCGACTAGAAAAAAGTTTAACTTACATTACTCAGATTACCCCAGTACTTGTACAGTACTGTATATGTCAACCTGGTACACTTCAGTTATGTTGGACTACAATTCCCATCAGCCACAGCCAGCAAAGGCTGCTCTTAAGCATCCTGCCCATAAGCACTCAGCATCCTGAATCATGTCTATCTATAATTAGCAACAATGAGTTATTCTTTGAAGGTATGGAGGTGAGTGACTGGCAACATGATAGTTTATAAAATTATGCATGGCATAAAGGAAGTGGATTGAGAAACAGTTTTCTCCCTCTCTCACATTTAGTTGAGATTCCTGCATTGCAGGGAGTAGATGGCCCTTGGGGTCGCTTCCAAATCTATGATTTTATTACTAGAGCTTAATGGGCACCCAATGAAGCTGTATATTGGAAGATTCAGGGCAGATAAAGGACTTATTCACACAGCACATAAACTGTGGAACTCACTCCTACAGGAGGCAGTGATAGCCACCTACCAGGTGGCTTTAAAAGAGAATTAGACAAATTCATGGAGGAGAAACTAGCCATGAAGGCTGTGCTCAGCTCTACGGTTGGAGGCAGCAATGCTTCTGAGTACCAGTTCCTGGAAACCACAAAAGGGGAGAGTGCATGTGTGCTTGAATCCTGCTTGCTGGTTTTCCACAGGCATCTGGTTGACCAGATCCAGCAAGCTTTTCATATGTTCGTATGGAATACTACAGCTACAGCAGTGTCTTTTTAAGCTTTACTCCATACACGTGTGCCATCTTGTTCTGGTTTGCTTTAAGTTGACTTTTGCCTGTAAATGAGGGTAGATACTCTCCTAGCAGTCTGGTTTCCTTTGATGACACAGCCTTCCTGAAAGTTGCTTAGGGTGTGCCACTGAGCAGTTTCCCTTTACATTCTTTCAAAGGATTATCCTGGGTGCTTGGAGATGCTGAAGAGTTGCCCTTCAACAATGACAGTTTTGACATATACACAATTGCCTTTGGTATCCGGAATGTCACTCATATAGACCAGGTGAGCATTGGTCAGATTTTGCTGGATTTTACTCTTTGAAGAACACAACAGCTTGCTCTGCTGGATTAGAGCGAGGTCCATGTAATCCATGGGTAGGCAAACTAAGGCCCGGGAGCTGGATCCAGCTCAATCGCCTTCTAAATCTGGCCCGCGGATGGTCCGGGAATCAGCGTGTTTTTACATGAGTAGAATGTGTCCTTTTATTTAAAATGCATCTCTGGGTTATTTGTGGGGCATAGGAATTCGTTCATTCCCCCCCCCAAAAAAATATAGTTGCCCCCCCCCGGGGTGTGAGGGACAGTGGACCGGCCCCCTGCTGAAAAAGTTTGCTGACCCCTGTGTAGTCAACCGTTCTGTTTCCAATGCTAGCTTACTCATTTGCCTCTGGGAGAGAAGGGTATTGCTTTCCTGTGTTTATTATTGAGAGGGGTAACAGCACAAGAGCCCTACTGGATCAGACAATCTAGCCTACTATCCTGGCCTCATAGTGTCCAACCACATGCCTATGGGAATTCGGCAAGCAGAACCTGAGCACAACAGCACATATGCTCTCCAGCAACTGGTATTGAGAGGCATACTCTCTCTAATGCTGGAAGTAGTACATGCTCATTATCTGCCCATGTATTTGCTTAGTCAGCTTCTAAAATCATCCTAGTTGTTATTCATTGAGCTTCTTTACTTGAGGACTTGGGATTTACGAGAACGAGTCAATATAATGCTGAGATTATGATCAGCTTCAGGAGGGGAAAAAAGGCTAAATGAGAGAGTAGTCTGCCCTGGGTCTCCTTGTCCTGTTACCAAACTTGCACAGGTGCCTAACTTGCTCAATACCTTGATGCTTTGTCAGGTGGGGCTCCCCCCTCCCTTTCTCATAGATTGAGTTTCCACCATAGCTTACCCTATTTTTACATTTCCGGCTAGCTTCTTCCAGCTGCTACCTGAAGAATCCATTTAACTATATTCATTTCTCTTGATTTTATTTCTCTTGCTGCAAAAATAAAGCTTTTAGGTGGACATCATTAAATTGAGAGGGAAGGCAGTGGAGGCCTGGAAAACAGGGACTGGCAAAAGGAATAGCAGCCTAGGATTCAGCTGCTGTCACCCCTCACACAGCAGCTTGCTTCTAACTTGCTCAAAACTGGCAGTCACTGTCTCTAAAGGCAGCTGGTATATATTGAGAGTTTGCAACGGTTCTTATATTTAGTGTGTTTATTAACATGAACACAACTTGCCTTGCCAAATCCATGTTCTGGATCTCAGAATAGCACTGTGTGAAGCATCATAAATATGCTTAATGTCTTCTTCATCCCACCTTTTTTTCCAGGCTCTTCAGGAGGCTTATCGAGTCCTGAAACCAGGAGGGAGATTCCTCTGCCTAGAATTCAGTCATGTCAACAACTCCTTCATTTCCAGGTTGGGTTACAGATTCTCTCTTTTCCAACCCCTTAAGCAAATGTTGTTTACCTCCAGATGTTTTGAATTACAACTCCCATCATCCCCAGTTGGCGTGGACATAGGATTCTGGGACTTGCAGGAGGATGGCTGTGCAGGCAGGGGCTGATGGGAGTTAGGATTGGCAGATGAGGAGCCCCCCAGCCCCCATCTTCCTCTTATCATAGCACTGGAGTCTTTTCTCCTGTGCACTCTCCATTGCAGCACTGGGCTGGGAAGAGAGGTTTAAACATTCTTAGTCCAGCGCTGTAACGGGGATGAGTGTGGTGTGGTCTATGTGCATGTATGTGTTTGGTGGCATGTGGCCCTTGAAGGGCTGGCCAGCCTTGAAGCCCACTCTGTTCTGCCTTGGTCAGACCCCACCTGGAGTATTTTGTACAGTTCTGGGCAGCACAGTTTATAAAATGGATATTGACGAGTTGGAAGATATGCAGAAGGCAACCAATAAGATAAAGGGTCTGGAAACCAAGCCTTGTGGGGAAGGTTTGAGGGAGCTGGGTATGTTTAGCCTGGAGAAGATTGAGAGGTGATATGATAGCCATCTTCAAATATCTAAAGGGTTGTCACATGGAAGATGGAGCAAGCTTGCTTTATGCTGCTTCAGAGGGTAGGACTCGAATCAAAGGTTTCAAATGGCAAGAAAGGAGATTTGATCTGCAATTTCTGTATTAACCTACTGGTGTTTTCCCCCCCTTTGCAGTCTGTATGATCTGTATAGCTTCCAGGTTATCCCTGTGCTGGGCGAGGTTATTGCTGGTGACTGGAAATCCTACCAGTATCTCGTAGAAAGCATCAGGCGCTTTCCGTCCCAGGTAAAAAAACAAAACAAAACCCTTTTAAGTCTAAAAACATTGAGGCTGCAATTGTACTTCCTAGAATTGTACACAGCAAGTGTCCCAGGTGAGGTGCACTGTGAAATGTTCAGGAATCCCACAGTGTTTCATCACTTATTGACAGTATCACCATTGTTGCATTTCAGGTAGAATTCAAGGAGATGATTGAAGATGCAGGCTTTCTGAAGGTGGACTATCAGAACCTGGGCTCAGGCATTGTGGCTATTCACTCCGGCTTCAAGTTATGACTTTCATCTTACAGCGTACAAGTTTTAAAATGAAAGGGTGGACTGAACTCTGATGGCCAGATTCAAAGGGTTATGGCCTTGCAACACACTCGGCATCATGCCATCAAAGCACACTAATCCCTTGGGGAATTAAATTTCAGTTATCAGTCAGCTGCTGTATTCTGCTGCTGTAGTCATGTGACAGCTGGGTAAGCATCAGCTCATCTTGTTAGGGAACACGTGAACCACTGGAAGATGGGACTTTTATTTCAGTGAGAATTTTTTAAAAATCTGATGGGTTTAAGCAGTTCTGTTCATGAGGGCAGCTGCATTTTAAGACTCAAGTAATTTCCTATTTCAATCATGTCAACCACCTTTTGTGTAGCTATGTGTGGCACCAACTAGCCTTAAAAAAAAAAGAGGCCTGCACTTACTGGGTAAAAGTCACTGAAGCACCATATTTCTTGCTGTATTTATTAAAAATATATATTAATTTTCAAATTTGTTTCATTGAAATAAGACTTGTAATTTGTTTGAACCTCAAAATGGATGTAGCCTCCCTCTGTGTAGAGAACTACAGGTACATACTCTATAATTACCAAGATGGAGGTCCTCATCTACAAAGTCTATTATTTATTGAATTTATATACTGCCCTATACCCAGGTCTATGGCAACACACACACAATCCTCATCTCCTGCTGTAATGTAAGCATGTGTAACTACCATGTTATTTCTTCTCTTAAAAAACTCTACCATGAGGTTAAGGAGCTGCCCCCCCCCATCCTTTAAATAGTAGCATCATGTATGTGGTACTGCATGATTACAATAGATTCAAGTGTGAGGAGTTACATAAATGTTGTTCCCGTATGTGAAGAAAGCTTGGGCACTGCCATTCTTGGTGTAGTGCTGCATCTCCTGAACCCAAGCCCCTGGATACTGTTGAGTGGCAGTAAGTCTTCATGGATTGCCTGCCCTCCATCACCACCACTTTTGGCAGGATTGAGTATCTTCATTAGAAAGAGGAGTAACTAGCACAGAGGAGCAAGCATTTGCACAAACTACATACAGTATTTAAAATTTGATGAAGATGCACATTGGGTCTCTGTACTTACACCTACAGTGAAAGCTGGATAGCTCAGTTGGTTAGAGCATGGTGCTGATAAAACCAAGGCTGCAGGTTCAATCCCCATATAGGACAGCTGCATATTCCTGCATTGCAAGGGTTGGACTAGATGATTCTCCATGTCCCTTCTAACTCTGCAGTTAAATGATTTTCTGGGCTGGCCTTTACTTCAACACCAGAAGATGCAAATAATTTTCCAGTCTGGATGCTACTGACCTCCCATCTACCCCCTGAAAAGAGGAGATGAGCTTTCACGACTACCATCAAGTGATATATTTGCAATGGAAAGTAGTAGCAGCCACTGCAAAAAAAATTTCTTAACTACCAAAGAGCTACCAACTCATTACAAATTAATGTTGCATTCTCCAAAGTTGCAAACATTTTCAATGGAAAAGTTGAGCATGCACTCCAGTGTACAAAACAACAGGTCTTCATAGAATGCTTGATTTGGATTGTGGGAAAAGGAGATCAGACATGTCAGTGAAACAAGCAGGAGTTGTACATCCTGCTAAGCTAGGTGATAATTCTTTTTCCAAGCAGTGGTATGTTTTATTCCTTGGGCTTTAGACAGGCATTCTAGCACTGTTCCTTACATCAAGATGCACTGCCATAAGTACTATGATGCCAAAAGAACAGTGCAAGTATGCTACTGGGAACAAGTATTGTAAATGCTTTTGATTACATTGTTAGAATGTTATGTATTAAAATATTCCATATTGGAATTTAAATAACCAGGCATCACTGAACATTTTCAGAGGCGACAATAAGTCTGGCACATATTTCTAACTAAAGACTCACATAGACCAGAATGTAATTTAAATTCAGTTGTTCCTTTTGTACACTGCATTAATCATCAAAGCATGCATACTGGTGAGTAAAGATCATCCTTAGATACATCTTTGCAGGCATTAGATACACCCTAGATTGCAGTCTCATGCAAAATTACTTGTAAAGACAATGAACACACTGGGATCCCTTCCAATTTATGCATAAGCTTGTGCAACCTCGCACATACTTGCTTGAAAGTGCCACTGGATGAGTCAGTTATGTCATTTTACAAGTAAATATGCTTTCCCTTCTGAGGTCATTATTAGGACTTGCAAACTCTGTAAAATATGAAACAATATGTTGTGAGCTGGGAATATTGCCTTTATCAGTAAGAGCATGGCTGAGGACCTTGAAATATTGGATCTTCCTCCATTATAGAGCCCTATCCCCTAATTCTCTACTTTACGATCTTTTAAGTGATAGTGCAATCTACAATCTATCATTGATTTGTAGGAGAAAGCTAGATTCGATAGGGCTCACTCTAACTGACTTTGAAATCTCTGATCCCAAAGATACATGGGAAATTATCAGGAAGACTCTTACAGAAAAAAGTGTTCTCGCCATGCTTGAGGTTGCAAAGCACAGCACCTGCTCTCCTATCCACTTAAATCTCCCTTTGTGTAGAGATTTCCAAAAGGGATACATGACAAATCTGAAGAAACATGAATCGTGTAGGCTGTTTATGTTGGCCAGATTTAACATGTTTCCCTCGGTGGTAGTGAGAGGAAGATACTTAGCTATCCCAGAATCAGAGCGTCTCTGCAAATGCAGAAAACAGGAATCCGATACTAGAGCATATATTCTTTTCCTGTGATTTTGGCAGTTATGCCAGAAGACAATTATTTGAGGCCCTAAAATTTAATAGACAGATTTTTACACAACCAACTGTTCAGGACCTGCTGGCGGACAGCGATGATCAAATTACTTTAATAGTGGCTGAATTTTTAAGTGCTGTCCATGAAGAAAGAATGGGCCATGATAAAGAGACTTAGTGGTTTTTAATGGTAGGTGATGTTGCTGTGTTGTATTATATTATCTATGTACATCAATTTATTTCTTGGAGTTAAGATTAGGACTGGGATAAATTGTGTTCGCTGAGCCTGTATTTTATACAGTCTGTATATGATGTTTGTTTGTTAATGTGTGGTGTGCTATGCCTAATAAAGGATTTTGAATTACAAAAAAAAAAGTAAATATGCTTAAGAATCAGATGCAACACAGGGAATAGTTTACAAGTCCTATTGGCTCCAATGCTGGCGCTGTTTTGCCAAAGGCAAATCCAGTTCATTCAGTAGACAGAAAACTATGGTCTCCAGATGTTTTTGGATTCGAACTCACACCAATCTCAAGCAACATGGCTAATGGGGGTTGTAATCTGAAACATCCAGAAGGCCACAAGTTAGTCACCCCTGATTTAGGCAAATAATTTGCTATTTCAAGTCTGCAGTGCAAAGCTGGTAGTCATAGGAGAGTTTGCCAAATATGGAAGTATTAGAACAAGCTCTTAAAGATTGAATGTATGCCCAAAGGTTTTATTAGAAAATTAGGACTTGTGGGTTGCTTTTTGTAAAGAAAATACATACAAGATTACTTTTTTGCTATTTTTTTATGGCCACAACAAAAACACAAAATGGTACAGAGGAGTACCTGTCCATTAAAACAACAAAAGGCTTGAAGATCAAGGTATGTTCCCTGGGGAAGGCTGAAGACTTCAGTCTATTTGGAATTAGCGTGCAGTCCTGTAACCAAATGCATGTTTGGGGTGGAACAGTCCCATGTTCTAACCGGATTTGAAGAGGAGAATGGCAACTTGACCCAGGTAGAAGTAGATGAAGTGTTTGGTCTCATGAGTCACATAGCTGCCAAAATTTCTTCCCACAATGCAGTGCCAAGTAGGATTGTATTTCTTGTCAAATTCCTGAAAGAGAATAACTTAATAGCTTAGCTTATCAAGTGAACAGCTTCACTCATGGGTTTGGAAAGAATATGCAATGCAGTCTTCTAACCTCTTGAGCTATACATACAAGAAACATGCAACAACATAGCCCAGTGACTTAACTTTTGTTCTTGCCATGTATGAGACAATGGAAGACTGCAGTCCACAAATCACAATGAAATCATAATAACATACTGACATTAACTGGACTATTTTGGAGCAAGTAGCTTGAGAAGTGCTGTAGGGATATTCTATGCAACCCATACAGACGTTCAGGCTGTCTGGGTTTAGGAAGAGAAGTTACGCATAGGTCCTACTTTTGTAACAAAGTCCACCATTTCATCATGTCCTATGGAAATATTTCTAATTCGTGATTTGTCCAACCTCTCCCCCCCCCCGGCCAAAGTTCCTGAAATGTATGCAGCTAATCTGCAAGAGAACAGAGGAATAAACAGATTTGCCTAACGCAGGGTTTCCCAAACCTAGTCCAGCTGCTCTTGGACTACAGTTCCCATCATCATCCCTGACCAGTGGTCCTACTATGTAGGAATGATGAGAGTTGCCGTCCAAAACCAGCTGGAGAGACCCAAGTTTGGGAAACCCATGTCTTATCTCCCCTGCCCCAATTCCTTTGTTCTTGGCTCCCCACTTCCTCTCTCTCTGGTTTCTTCCCAAAAATGGCTGTTGCCAACTAGCAAAGCACAAACCAGCAAGGAAGTCAGTTCTTTGGATATCTGAGTCTACGGTGCTCATAGCAAGGTTTGGGCAGAAGGATAAGTGAATTTTCGCATCGCAAGCATGCGGATAGCAGGACCTGCATGTATACAACTATTAATCAGTAGTATAATACTCCTCTGTGCTATCTATTTAAGTGTGGATTCTTAATTCTTAATTCAACTGACTTAAGAGAGTAATGTCTATGGAACAATAAAGAATCTACTTCACTTTGTACCTTACAAGATTTGATAAGCATTTTATTCATGATAACGTAAGTCATTTTGGAAATTATTTAAGTAATGGCATTCAAGTAATGGCTTGCAACGAAGATGCAGTACAGAAAACCTCGTCCAAAGCAACTATGACAGTATCAGCCAATCCTAAAGTTTTTGGGGGACAGTGCAACCAGGGTATGGTGTGCTTAAAAAGGGACAGTTTTGCATTGTTAGCACTGTAATTTCTCATCTATATTCTGGAAAATGTTGTGAAAGAAATTGAGGGTTTATTAAGGTAATGTTTTACTAAAACTTGGAAACATGAATTCTCTTTTATAGAGGCTTGGAGCAGTTGATATTCAACCAATTTATATCAATATATTGCTTAGCAAATTTCAAACTACCGTATTTTTCGTTCTATAGGACACACTTTTTCCCCTTCAAAAATGAAGGGGAAATGTGTGTGTGTCCTATGGAGCGAAGACGCCATAGCCCCGTGACCCTCTCCCGGCTGGAGAGGTGACGCACGGCCATGGCAGGAGCCTCTATAGCCACGCGTCACCTCTCCAGCCGGGAGAGCGCGCGCGGGACTAAAGAAGCCCCCCACGACCCTCTCCCGGCTAGAGAGGTGACGCGCAGCTATGGCAGGAGCCTCTATAGCCGTGCGTCACCTCTCCAGCC